ATCAAATGTCCATCTGAACACTTGCACATAAGTGGTCATGATCAGCAAGCCAATACATGTAGTATGGTTGGAGCACAATCAGACTGTAGAGTGTGCTAACCTCAACTCTACTGAACAGGCTTTGGCTGCAGGAGGAGGGCATGTCAGTTAAATGGTATATTTGTAAGTGGTGACCCTTGCTACACTGAGAGAATCATCACTGCCCCATTTCTCACTGTGTTGCACTAAGCCCAACCAGTGAAGATTCTCCATGGTCCACCACTCCAACTGCTTGGAACTATTAAGTGTAAATGGTCTCCGTGCTCCACTCAAAGAAGGGGGGAGGAGGAGAATTTGCAATGAGGAAATCTGGTGAAGTGCCTGAATCCCAATTAAACCAACAGCCATTATATTCTTTCATTGTTAACAGTGCAAGGTGTGACTGCAAATCCCTATTTTTAAAAGCCAACAAGCATGAGCCAAATAAGTGGGCAGTCACTCCTCTATTGCTGGCTTTTTTCAATAACAATCTATGGAGTTGGTACAGTCTAGACCAGATAATTGAGTAAACATGTATACCACGAGGATAATTTAAGTGATCTTGCAAAACACCCCATATCAAAGTGGCATTGACAGAGCAAGAGTGAATGGTTTGAGTGCTTTCTGTTCACCTGGCTCATACAGATTTTGGGAAATAACCATACCCTGGCAACACCAGCTGACTGGTGGGATCCTTTTCATTGGAAAGGGAGATAAATGAAAAGGAAGAGATACTTTCCCATTTCAATGATGGTGGGTAGATTGAACTATGGTGGCTGACAGAAGTCAAAATCCTGCAGGAGACAAAGCATCCAAGAAGAATGAGCAACACACTTGTGAGGAGTTAACCACATGCCTCCCTGGAGGATCTTGACTTAGAACTGACAAAGATGGGAAGCAGAGAATGAGAAAGGTGATAAATAAAATGTGAAGAACTGTGATATAGCCTGCAGACATCCACATCCAGAGACATGTATACCAACCAGAAGAGTCAACAGAGCCAGCCATCAAATGTTAAAGGAGAGAGGTTCCTAGAAGGAGAAGGGTTCCAAGGTAGGAATAGAGAATGACATGGAGAAGTCCATGAAAGGCAACAATGAACAGCCTGAATTGGACACAGGAACCAATCTGAGTTTGAACAATACCAGAAGTGAGAGAAAAAAAAATGGAGATAGGAGAAAGGACAGTTAACCTCCTAAGCAGCAGAAGTATGAAGAAGGTAAGATCGGTCTGGGTAGATGAGTATTTTAGGCAGTGGAAGAGAGTGCAAGAAGCATCAATACTTAAACGACCAAATGACAGTGACAACATGTGATAAGGAGGAGAAAATAAGATGCAAAAGAAATATGGTACAAAGAGCAAGATACCAACAGCTCAAATGGGACATGTGTCATAGTATGCAAAACTACATAAGGACCCAAGCAGGCATGGGAATTGGGCAAGGAGGATAACGAAAAAGGACAAAATGGAATAGAGTTGATAGAACAGGAGAAGAAAATACCCTATGATATCGGGAATGGTAAAATGCTGTGGACAATGCCCCCTTATAACCTGCAAACCATGTTTGAACAACCAATCAGAAAAGGCAGAAAGGTGGAGCACAGTAGAAAAGCTTGGAGGATAGTAGTGGCAGATGGATCAAAGATAAAGTGGGAGGGTAATAGGAATGTGACAAAAAGAAGGTTATATGATAGGGAAGCCTGGTATGACAGGCAATAAACTGGACAAATCCCAAACATGAAGATGGAAGGACAACATCCCTTGATGAAACAAGAACATGGATGTTGAAGCAAGAATGAGGGGACATTGGGTTCAAGAAGCACGGAGAGGCCTGGATGCCAAGTGAAGAACTAAAGGAAACCAAAGCTGAAGCAGTAGGATGCGAGAAGGAGTGTCATGTATCAAGTCAAGGACCCGAGGGAGGAGTGGAAGAGGAGGAGACAAATAGAAAAAGGTGAGACCAGCCCTGACTAAGAGCTGTGACAGCCAGAGTCAAAGAATGAGGAGCAGGTTACCAAAAGAGAGAAATAATCGAATCAAGAGGGATGGTAAACGCATCTAAGAGGGAAGTGCTTAACCAAGAACAAATCCAACTAAAGATCTTGGGTGAAGATACCACTCTGTGGGTCAAAAGTGGTTCGAACAAGATAGGTGGTCCACTACAAGGTAAATAACTCCAGGTACATTACAGGCAATAAAATGAACTTGATGTGAATGAGCCCAGAAGAGTAGGTCCAATGCCCAAAAGTGAAAGTTCTGTAACAAATGCCTCATGATGATAGATGTAAAAAACAGCTGTAGTTATGTCAGAGTGGATTGTAACCTATTGAGTTGCCAGAAGGGGCAGGAAATGGGAACATGCCCAATGAGTAGTGAGGAGTGGTGAAGAGCAAAGTCTGGCTTGGGAGTTGGTAAGGAAATGCTGAAAGTAGTATAGGCACAGGACAGTCACCACAACGATTCCTCAAGGAGAGAGGAGGTTCACGAACGAGGGCAATGGATCTCAAGAAAGAAGCCCTTGCATCTGCATGAACCACAGAAGGAGGTGCATATGTTAACACTCCCAAAGGAATAAGGAGTTTCAGGGAAGCCAGAGTCCCCAAAAGCAAAACAATCCTTCACACAGGATGAGAATTTAAAATGCAAATCTTGGTGACTAAATACTCCATAGCTCACAGGTGAAGAGGAGAATGCTGAGATGTTTGAGACAAGAGATGAAAAAACACTTAGCAATACCAAATAGTAAGTGGGTGTGAGAAAATACTTGGAAATCTTGACAAGCCACCCCAACCAAGTAGCTTCCTGCAAAAGAAGGGAGGTGTGAGAAGAGAATACCATCCGAGAATGGGCAAATAGAAGTCAATCCTCCAACAAAAAGAATGACAGCTCCAGTATGCAAAGATGTTGAGTGAAGGCCCTCAGAATACAAATGAATACAAAATGGGCTGATGCTATGTCGATGAGAAGAGCACAGAATTGGAAGATGTTAATCTGACAGACTAAACATCAAAAACGTATGGAGGACAGATCAATAGGGATGTGTATGAAAAGAAAAGGAAAGAGAAGTGGGAAGAGACACCATGGGGGCAGAAAATGAAACCAGCTACAACTACAAGTGAAAAGATGGGTATCCAAAGGGCCAGATGTAACAGGACAGTCACTGACAAGAAGAGCAATATCAGGTAGTGAGAGGATGAGAAAAAGAGGTAGGCCTGGAACCTGGAGTGGGAAGGTTAGAGATAGACTGATCTAGAGAAGGAATAGAAGGATCAAGAAATAAGAAAAACCTTAGATGATAACAAGGACTGAAGTCACACAACTTCAGTCCAAGTCTCCAGTGAGAAATAAACACTAATGAAGATGTATGAGTAAAGAAAAGAAGTACAATGAAAACCAAGTACACAAGGAGAAACGTGTACAGGTGAACACAACTTGACTCAACAGCAGGATAACAAAGTATGGGGTGACAGAGTAGAAGTGGAAAAGGCTAAGCTGGCAGTGAAAAGGGAATGAACTTCTACAGCATAATGAAGTGCCTCAGACAAAAGGTGAAGGAAGGAGAGGGAATACAGGAGGGTGGTTAAAAAAAAGACAAAGACATGAAAATGGGAAACCAAAAAGGGAAACAGTAGGCAAGGGGTTTCATACCCAAGAAGAGCAAACAGATATCAAAGACAGGGAATCTAGAAAGAAAAGGAAAAATGTCTGCAAACCAGGACAATAGAGTCATAAATGCAAGGGAGACAAGGCATTTGGGTGTGAACATAACTCACACAGGACTAAGTAAAAGTCACTGTCATTGGAGAATTCATGATAAAAATCAAAGCTTTTGAAACAAAAGCTAAAGAAAACGAAAATCAAAGTTTCCATAACAAATGCAAATCTCATCAAATTGAAGCCAGATGAAATATGAATACTTCCATATCATACAATGCTGTGGAAAAGAATGACATTATCACAAGTGCATAGGGGAGTTACTGCGCATGAATGTTGTGTTTCTCTCTTACTGGTGGAGGGCTTTTGTCGCATAATAACATCATCATGCACCAACGCTGTTCACGTTAAATCTGTGAATTTTGGAGGAAGTTACCTTAAGGCTATTGAACTGCAAATCTGCAGATACTCAAGGAAAATAGTATCTCTGTGTGAAGAGGCAAGTTATCATCTAGAAAGTTCAATCTGGTGGTATTGTCATTGGTCCTTTTCTGTTAACTTATGTTAAACTTGTCTGCTTACTTGTTTATAAAGCAAAATACATGGATAGCCATAGCTGATGTGAAATTCCATGTAGTTGACAACTAAGATTTACTTTTTGGAAATCTAGAGGATTGGAGCATGTTTCTAATGGTTATAATTTGATTGAATAGTAATGTTTCTTTACTGAAGGAGGTGATAAAAACATATTTACCATTGTGTCTTGGTGAGATCACTGTAGATTAACGTAATTAATTACTTACTCACAATCATGAAAGTTCAATCACAAAAAAGCACAGTTAACTAAAACTTGTTTATTCTACATTTGAAGAACAGACTACAGCTAGTAAGTCAAAATAAGTAACTTAGCTATAACTTATCAACCACTCACCTATGTATATTCTTTGTGAGTATCTTCCCATTAAAAGTAGTACAAAAACATGAAGAGGTATGAGGTTGATTATAAAAACATAACCACCCCATGCTGACACCTGTAGTATGTAAAGTTTGAATGTTAATCAAAATAGAAGTTAAAAATTGTGGGTACACAAAGCATACCTTAAAATACATGAACTCTACTTAATTGTTTTAGGAGATATCCACTCATATGACTGATCGAACTGAAAGGCATTGAATATTACCTACACTGTTCCTGCATGATTTGTTATTCCATACTCTTCCTCACTGCATTACATACTACCTATGCTGTTCTAGCATGAATTGTTATTCTATTATATTCCTCATTGCATTACCTATAACCTACGCTGTTGTAACAAGATTTATTATTCCATTATCTTCCTCACTGCATTACCTATTACCTACACCAGTGCTTCTCAACAATGGTTCTGCAGAACCCTTTGGTTCATCGACAGACATCCAAGGGTTCCGCAAGATGTTGAAGCTCCACAGAAATTCCATGAATTGCAAGAGTTTCACATATTCTAATGTAAAGCACATACTAGTCATATAATTGCAATCCAACTACATCATATTTCTTTATTAGTATAGTGGGTTTCATAATGACACAACATAACAACAAGTAACTGGATTGTTTCAAGTTAGTGAACAAGCTTAGATACAAACAGGTACTTGAGTCATGTAAACTTATATTATTTGAGAGAGCATGCTTCTCGTTATGTGTGCATGTATGCCCAAGTAATTGGTTCGAAACATTTTCGTACTTTGCATGTATGTTTGTGGGTATATAGCTGCTTTAAACATATGTAGTGCGTCTGGAATTACTGATATAGTATTACAGTAATGTTTTTTGTAATGAATGCTATAACGAGTTACGTGCATTCATAAAGGTTGAGAACTACTGACCTACGCTGTTCCTGTGTGATTTGTTATTCCATTATCTTCCTCATTGAATTACCTATTACCTAAAAAAAAAACCTGCCAAATGATTTAATAAGTTCAAGATTATAATACCTTCTCAACAAGATACTTTAATTATAAAAATCCAGCATATGTGTTTTGCTTGTGAAACTCTTAATTAACTTGAGTTGAATTACAATGCAGCTTTCTTGGGATTTATATGATTATGAAGATAATAGCATACAGATCAAGCAATAGAACAGAAAACAGAAATCAAGGTATCAAAAGTTAAAAATATAGTTATCTTACATAAAGTTTAAATGCCAACTCCCATTGATTACATATCTACAAACCTTTAAAAGTAAATAAAATAGGTTTGTTTTGATCAGCTACCAGTCAATGAATTTGCACTATTTTCAAAGGGTTTTATGCTAACTTAAATAAACATTAACTTGTGATGTAAATTGTCAACATTAAACTTGCGACTACTTTTAATAATATCACAAGTAACAACTTACCATATAAAAATAAGACAATGCTGTTAGTACACCCCAGTATACCCTTCCACTTTTCACAGCTTGTACCTATAAACAATTATAAATTCGATATACGCTTGTGTAACACCAAGTTAAAAAATATATACTTTACCATTTTGTCTGATATATAGGTTTTTTCAGTAATCCTTAGTCTATTTTAGCATAATATACAAAACATTATTTTCATAATAAAGCTTTTCATTAGTAGTGCTGCTAAATAAGTCTCTCATAAAATTAACAAAAACACTATAAAATTACATCACCATTACATCAACTTATTTTCTCCCACTCCTTGAAAAAAAGGAGATTACTAATGATGTGGGATATGATCTCCAAAATAAATCTGAAAAATTATACATAACAAGCACAAAGCACAATAAAAAAAGGTTCCACATATAATGCCTTTGATTTATCATAACAGAACAACTTCTTTCTTATCCTACCCTATACGTATGTACTAGATGCTTATCATGTTCTACACAGTTATCTTAAAAAATGTAATGTACAAGAAATATGTAAACAACTACATTGTTTTCTTCAATACCTAACAGTTTTAACAGAATAGAAAATATATATTTATTTTATTCGATAAAAAACAGACATTAAACCATATCCTTTGGTAAGTTCCACTTATTTTAAGCATATATCATTTGAAATAGATAAGATGGACTAAGTGTTTTGGTTTTTGATTTTGAACAACATAATCAGAATTCAATCTTTAACCCTCTCACCACAGATGGATTAGACTCACCTGGTGACCCCAAAGTAACCCTCAGTTTCCATACCACGACTTTTAATATGTTTTGTGTATCTTCACAAAATTTGGAATAGAAATTTCCAAGAGAAAAAAAAAAGAACAAAAGTTTACCTAACTTACCCACATATAGTACGTAAACATCAACGCAAAGATGGCGATGCCTTCATTATCATAGCTTCCTGCAACAGACCGACTAATGTAGCCTGGTACTGCAAACACACACAAATCTCATTATTCTTTATAAGTGTAAAGTAATAGAATGGTTCAATTTTTACAAAAACACAATTATACATTTTCTTAAGAATGAAGTTTATCACTCTTATAACCTGTATATAAGCTTGCTTGTTAGAAATAGTTCTGTCACTATGAGACAAATGTACCAATAATTTCTTGCTTTAGGAAGTATTTAGGAAACTACTAAACTTAAAATTAGAGCCAAATAAAGAATGATGTGCAAAAATGTAAAAGTAACTAAAATAAAAGCAAGTAAAACCAATGAGCCAACATTATATTTATTTTGCTTTAAGTGCAAAGCTGTACAATGGGCTATCTGCACTCGGCAGAAATCAAACCCCAAATTTCAGTATTATAAAGAATTATATCAGACCTCAAAAATTCCACTTGTCCCTTTGTACATACAAGTAATGGATGAATAAGGGCAAGTTTATTTTCTCATGCATTTGATTGACAGTTTCAGAAAATTAGAACAGCAATTAATCCAGTTAACATCACTTTTCTTTACTCAATGTCCAATTTACTTTTGAAATTTTTTACAGTTAGCTGTGAGAAGACTGAAAAAAAAAGTCTCCTACTGCCTCAGATAGCTTTGCCCAACGAATTTTAGTTTTGCTGATTGTATTTCCAGTCTCCTTCCCCAAACTTACAATAGGTTCTACAAATGTTTTATAGGTAATTTATTATTAAATTGTACAGTAGTTTTGTTTGAGCTTTATTTTGGCAGCCTCAACTAGGACACATGCTTTTTTCCATCAAACAAAATGGTTTTGAAAATTCATAAACATTTTATTTACTGAAATACTTATTTAATATTAAAATAAAAACAATAACAACAAAATTCATTGTTTAATGCTTTTTATATCTTTTTTTTTGTGAAGCACTTCATAGTCTTCATGGTATATTAATTAAGTTGTTTATTAAATATCACCAGAGAATATAACACATTATAGTTGAACTAATCAATAACATTCAGTAATATGGTTGACAAAACTATACCTATACATAGTTTCCAAATTTCACAAGTATAGGAAGGATTAGAAAAACAGAAATTTAAATGATACAATGATTTTAGTAATATAGTAACGACATTTGGAAGATACAGCATAAATGTACAAGTCAACTAAAAACATTTTGGTATAAATGTATTATTTAAAGCCGGTTTGTCTTAAAATTAATTTACATTGCAACTCAAGGAATAAGATATCAAAACAATTGTAGCTTACCAATTGCAATAAAACAAGCTGCAAACAATCCAGCACCTTCGCTCCATAATTCTTTTGTCAAAAAATATGTAGCTAATGCTGTAAGACCACTGTAAACAGTAAAAAACAATGCTCAATATAAAATTTCTTATATTAAAAAACATAATTATAAATCACTATTATGTGCCCATTTTTTGAACTCAGAACCACATTATACAGATGTTAAGTATATTAAATTAAAATGATTTTGGAGCCTCACCACATCATTACAGTCCATGTCACCACATTGTGTTATGTTCTATATGAAAACAGTGTAGCACTGCAGTGCAGTTTCTATCACAAAAAGCTCCATCATATGTCTTTTGTATACAAAGCTCACACTACTCCTTGCCTACTTTCTATAATCCACCCAGTGTATGAGGATGATGGTTTCCAAGCATGTATTTCAACAGTCAGATCACACAAAAATACATATGTAATGGTTGAACAGGAGGTATGACTGGAAGCCTAATCTAGCTTGGTGAACCCAAATCCTGTTGGTTTTGTTTCCAGATTGAGATCATTCTTAATTAGGTTGCATTCAGTTTCTGCTTGGGACACATCAACAGCTTCTGCCACTTACCTTTATGTTTATGGATTCTCACCTGTTACAAAATTACACTTTGTTTATCACAGCTAAGGTACAACTTGTTTCATGACTCTTTTTAGATAACATTGGTGCCTCAAACTGATCATATTCCTTTGTTTTTCAACACCTTTAAGTAGAAGAGATATCCCAGTCTTGGATATTTTAAATTTTCAATCTAAAAACATCTTTATGGTCTGAGAGCATGAACATCTAACATTGGAAAGGGATGTTACAAACCCTTTCCAAAGGTGCTCTTTTTTTTCTTGGTGGCATTACACAATCCATGAAATGCCAAATAATGTCAAAACATAGTTCTGATATAAGCCATTATTTCACCATGACTCTATATCCGCTGTGGCTGTCATGACTTGCTGATTTGCAAAATCAAGATCATTTTAACATAAAAGTTCTCAAACCTCTGTATAAGATACTCTACTTGGGTACATATAAATGCATATAACTGTATACACCAATACCACTTACTTCATTTTGTTGTATTTTTTATGGAAACCTGCATGGTTTAATATAGTGGGCACAAAATATTTGCTAAAACATTTATATTTTATTTTCATATTAACATCAATCAAAAATCATGATAAAAAATATATTTTCCTATATAATGATACCACAGCTCTATATGGTACATATAAACAAGTAGTAAAACTGCACACTGCAATCCACCAAATTGAAAACATAATTTTTATGTACATTACAGTTATATCTATCTGTTTTCTGCTTGGAGACTAGTATCAGGGATCTATTATGAACAAAAGGCCACTACATTCTGTATAGTCCGCAATCCTGAATGAATGCAGACCCTTAGTAACAAATGTGTTAATGTTTTAAGTAATGGCCCCAGCTCTTACAGATAAAGACTTGTACTTACTTCCAAACATCCCACTGAAAGTTTGTTGATTGTTAGATGCATGATTTGAAGGCTTGTACAACAATCATTTGTTGTTGATGGGCCACTTGGACTTTCACAAGAAGTGATGTCAACAAATGTGCGAGATCAAATCTGTTGTTCCAACAGAAAATTTAACCTTTACATTTTCTGGAAATGGCTACATCACCTTCAATATAATTGCCTTTTTCTGCAATATTTGAAAGCTCTTCCATATTGCAATCTTTTCCCCTTCTATTTTGGACTACTTCAAACTTTTCAGCCATATTGTTTACGATGATGAACAAATCTTGAACTTTCTCAAATTACAAATTGTATACGTCACTGATTAATATTTGTATTTTACGAAAATAATATTTAAAATATTTGACAGGAATTAAGACCCACACTCTTTTTAAATTTTGTAATTTCATGATTATTTGGCAGGCTTCATGTATTAATGTTTGTAGACATTCCAGAATGTAGAGATGCAGACTGGTCTAGGATTTCCAATGCATCAAATGTAGAAAGTGAAATGAAGTAGAGCAGAAGAGTAGCCAAACCTACAAAAATGGTTCTCTAAAGATTAAGCAATTTTAAACAGTTTTATTAGTTGAAAGGAAGAATAAAATGGATGTACCTTTCAAATTTTTCCATCCATACTTTTAATTACTTCATGAAGTACAGTAATATGACCACTTACATACCAAAACAAACAAAAGTAAAAAAGCATTAAATGGCGGAACAAACCTGAACAGGGGTGCCAGAAAAACACAGACATCTCTGATGTTCACAGTAATATTCAGTGCTGACAAAACATAATGAATTGCTCCTGATGTAATCATTAACCCTGGATAGACCTATAAAAAATAAAAATATCGTGTACAGCTTTAAGTGATATTGTTGTATCTGTTACATATAAAACCAACCACTTTCAAGTCCAAAACCAAAATTCCATGAAATAGGCTTAAGTTATACATTAAATTCTACTAGGAAGAATGAAGAACTTTAGTTTTAAAATTCTAATCCTTATAATTTTGTTTTTATGAGATTGCATACTCCTAGTTACAATAGTATATTAGAATTAGCTCCATTATTAACTACATTAGGTCAATTCTTAGTTCTATTTAAGTACATTGCTTTCATTAGAAGTTACTGATAATAAAGCAGTTCAGATTATTATTTAGTTGTTTTTTCTTTAGTTCTTAATATTATTTTTAGATAAAAATTTAAAAGCATAGCTAATTTATTTTATATTTTGTAATTTTAAGGGAAGGTTTGATAAATATTTAAATCATAAAGTTTAGCTTTGAAGTTTGTTTGTTTTTTAGCTTAGTTCAGTAGATGGGATAGCCTGGATTGACCAACAGGTCCCTTGTTGTCCTTAAAGTTTATATTACTAATATAATTTTCATTTTCTGTAAAGAACTCTTACTTTAAGAATTATTTACAATTTATTCCATTTGATATTGTAATTAGTTTAGTGGTAATTCAAACAGATAACAGTAAAAATTGAAGAATATGTGTCAAGTTGCTCTTATTATTATTACAAAAATGGAATTGACACAATATCATCATCAAAAATCTTATTGATGAGTTCTTATGAAAAACTTCAAGGATTTTTTAATTACAGCAACATATTTTTAATTACTTCATTTTAATAACATTTCTGACAGTGTTTTTTGTATGAAGTATTATAAAGTGAAGATTAAATGCAGTAGCTACTTCTAATTCATGATATGTTAATTTTGGATTGTGAAATGTAGCAAAACACAGGAAAGTTATCACAGTAACAGACACATACGTCACAAAATTAAATGGTTCAAAATAACCGATTGATTGATTGGTTACTTTACTAGCAGGAATGTTTTCCATTCACTGGTGAATGATCTAATAACAGTGCTTGTAGTACATCCCATAATAGCACAAATCTTATTACTGGCTCTCAACTACATATAATTCTTCTGGATTATATTTTTTATTTCATTACTGCCTGACAAGATTTAAGGGTAGCATTAATCACATTGTATAGTCTACTCTCAATACTTTAGTTGTTCTGCTAGGATGAGTCATGAATTTGTCCATTGGAACATACTCAACCCCCCCAAAAAAAACTTAATGGATTTGCATAAATATCAGAACCTATATTTTTTGAGTACAGCATGCAGATTTTTCACATCCTGTAATACATGATCATGGACATTCCCATCTACAGATAAATATAAAGACAGTAATCAATAACACCCTTTCCAGTGTTGATCTCATTATTTACTAATATTATTTCCATTATTTTGGTCAGATATTTCCCAGTGTATTTTATGCTCCAAACTCCATCACAAAATGTCACTTATACGTGTACATTAGATATTAAGATTTCATTAGAAACACTGATCTATGGGAACTTGAAAATACAAGAAAAAAAAGGTTAATATTACTGTAAAATAATAACTTGTTAAATATTTAAAAAGTATGTTATTTAACACAGTCAGAAAGGCTTGTGGAAAGTTTTATAAAAAAAACTATGAAAGGGTATTTCAGTGGAGGTCAGATTTGAGCTTTCAACTTGCCCAACAAAACACACTGGCTTTCAATGCCTAGTCACGCTGATTTACTTGCAAGGAGAGTGGGATTTTTTCTATATATATATATGCTTAAGGGTGAAAGTTCTCAACTTTAGCCCTGAGTTAATATAATATTTATGCACAACAAGAGACCTGCTAATTGGTCTAGGCTGTCCCATCCATTAAACTAAACTATTAAAAAAAACACAAAGCCAGCCCTCATCATTAAAATATTTATCAAGCTTTCCCATAAATTTACTGATTCCACCACATGTGAAAGCAACACATCCCAAAGACCATCTACCCTGTCAGAAAAATAAAACTGTCTTAGCTGAAAATAACTCGTACTCTGGCAAAATTTACAAGTAAAGAAAAACCTTTTCAAAAAAAAGGAAGTAAATGTAGGGATGGCTAATATAAATCCTTAAAGAACAATGCAAATAAGATATTAGAGATGGCATTTGCATCCTCTCTACATTATAGCATAGGCTATTAGAATGTTAACAGACAAAAATAGGATAAATTAAACTCATATATTGCTATAGGTTAATTTTTGCCTGTGTTATTATATAGGAATGATGCATCCCTAATATCTTGTTTGCATTGTTACCTCCACCACTGAAGGTGATAGAGGTTATGTGTTTCATCCGTGTGTTTTGTCATCAGAATTTCTTGAAAACAGCTGAATGGATTTTGATGAAAGTTGGTATTCATTTGGACTATGACCAAACTTAGAAGTGATTATTTTTTGGAAGGTCAAAGTCACAAAAATCCAAAAAAAATCTCTGTTAACATGAAAACTGATTTTTGCTCTTTAGCTCAATCAAAGATGATCAGATTTTGATGAAGCTTGGTGAACATATTTAGAATATTATTCTTCATTGTCCTGCCACAAATGGTCTATGTCCATTGATATATAGACACATTTTTGTATTTTTTGAGAGCCAAATATGATCAATGCTGTGTAATGGAGGTATGCACTCTACTGAGTGCCACTCTAGTTTTTTAAGGACTGATATTAGCCATCCCTACATTTACTTCCTTTTTTGGAAAAGTTTTTTCTTAAATGCTTGCTTGCTGCTTTTTTTAATGCAGTGTTTCAATAGCATAAGAAGGTTGTATTTATAACCAAGTTCTAAATACAATAAGGTTCCAACTGTAATATTTATTATTTATCTATTACTGGCTGGTAATTCCTGTTTCACTCTATACATAAGCTTTTTACATAAGCATAAGATTTCTGTAAGAAAGCTAACTT